AAATTTTCATTCCGAAAATACGGCCCAGAGAAAAAAAGATTTCAAAACCACAGTCCTAGACTAATAGGCTTAATAAATGACTAATCATTTCCAATTTCGCCTAGCAGGTCGACTTTGATCCTCAGTGGATGTAGCATACAGATTTTTGACCTTACTAGAGGCAGAGCGTAACCGACTAACATACCTAAAGTACTTGCGTGTGAGATACATATATATATATATATATATATATATATATATATATATATATGTTGTGGTACGATCCACCTAATTTACATAGTGGAGTACCGACCATATAAATATGGGTTGGTACCGGGAAGACGGGGGAGGAAGTAACAAAGAGATCCAATCCAGATACTCTGCCCAACTGCGATTAAGTCAGCCCATTCTACAGGAACAGTCTTCCCAAGAATATACCAACACTAACTGTAAATATTGTGTACCTTTTCCTTGTTTCAATACATTTTGTTTACGTACATTTTGTGTTGTATTATTATTATTCCATGCTTATCCAAGCTTCAACATATATATATATATATATATGCACTCAAGTACATTTATATATATATATATGCACACAAGTAATATATATATATATATATATATATATATATATATATATATATGGCAAGTGAGATGTTGTGTTACAGGATACATTTGGGAAGACCATGGACAGAGCATTTGAGCAACGGGGAAGTTTAGAGGAAAACTACATTAAAAAATTACACTTATACTTAGAATTAGAATGTCAAAGATTAAAATTCTAGAACACGAAATGGGAAAAGAAGAAATTGGAGAATTTGTCCCCCGCATGACCTCTTCAAGGACACATAGACTAACCTACCTAACGATCTTGTGCAAATAAATGGCGGAAGAGAGAATGATAATAAGGGGATAAACATTGCTTAGAGCTTCAAAGAATAGGAAATTGTGGAGCGCCATGATTGTCCCCGTCACGAGGGAAAACAAAAAAAATAAACTATTCTTTACTTCTATACTTGACGGGGTCAAGAATGAAGGGTTCAGGGAAGCAACCACTCGGGAGTTCGCTAGGAAGAAAAGGTGCAATATAGGTATTCTGGCTTTGTTATTTCCATTATTTAACCTAACTTTGTTGTTGCTATTACAACGTTTCGGTCTCCGACCTTTATCAGGTGTTTATCGATTCGACCAACCTTCGTGGAATTTTGAATTGAACCCTTTATTTCATTTTTAGGGATAGATGGTTCTCGTTTCACTGCCTATTTTCTCTTACTTTTTACTGCTCTTCAATTATTACTCACCTCGCTTCCACTGGCTCTAATTATCCACCTCCTGAATCAGCTGAATCATTACCCTGAGAGAATAAACCATACAAACAATGGGTTTTATTTACATTATTCGGACTATTGTCCTCATCTTTGTCGCCATATTTATTACAATGTTCCGACCGTTGTACGCTCCGGCCTTCTTCAGGTGGTTGGAATGTCAAACTGAACCCTTTATTTCGCTCGCTGGGATAGACGATTCTAGTTCCACGTGCCATGTTTAATGGATGTCAGTTATCAGTTATCTCTTGTTAATTCCCCTCTCATCATTCATTCCCTCGGTTGACGTTTTAGTACTAATAAAACTTCTTTTTTTTTTCTCATAGAAAACCCAAAGCATCCCAGGCTCTTGATGTTTCAGCTTACTCAAGAATGCTTTTGCGCTGGTCAGACGGTTGTCTTTTGTCTTTGCACATATGAATTGGAATCTTCGTACATTATTTACATTATTCGGAATATTGTCCTCATCTTTGGCGCCATATTTATTACAATGTTTCGGCCATTATACGCTCCGGCCTTCTTCAGTTGGTTGGAATGTCGATCAACTCTTTATTACGCTCACTAGGGTAGACTGTTCTAGTTCCACGTGCCATGTTTTTAATGGATGTCGTTTATCAGTTATCTGCTGTAAATTCCCTACTGTAAGTTCTCCACTGCCTTAACTGGGTATTTAACTCACACTCTTTGTGTCCTTGAGAACATCTGTGCATGAATTTCTGGGTATTATAAACCTTCAGCAACTATGTTTTACCAGTGCTCATATTGCAATTTTTGCTGTTATGATTGCATGTTTTGGACAATAGTCCGAATAATGTAAATAATGTGCATAATACCTCATCTCAGAAATATAAACAAACAATGAGTTTATTTGTCGAGGAACTCTGGCAAAGATACTGTTGCTGTCCGATATAATTTAAGAAAAGTTAAATGCTCCCATCCCACAAAAAAGCCAAGAGATATGTCGTCTT